AAACGACGGGGACAGACATGTGAAAAGAAACAGTGTAGATCTACCGACACAGTACAGTAGGCTACATCTTTCTTTCTTTCTTTCTTTCTCAGCACTACTACTACTAGTACTACTTTCAAACTGGCACATAATTTAATAGGTCGCTTTTAAGGACAGCGGGCTAACCCAGCTTTCGAGGGTTTCAAGAAATCTTGACCTAGATCTACATCAAAAGTGGGTTTTGCCCTACTCATAGCCTGTAGGAGAAGTTTGGTTTCATTTGTGTACATGTATATTATATAAATTGTTTGGTTAGAGAAAACTCTCCTTGTCGTTTATAGAAACTGAACAAGGGGCAAAAATTTTACTTTCGACTTTTTGAAAACAGTATTTTTCGGGATAGCTTAAAAGTGACAAATGACTGTACATCCAGTATGCAGCCATAGAGAGGGAAAGATCTTGCCAGTACGTCGGTGTTTTACTTTTTTAGTTTCAGCGCCTATAAAAATAAATCATAATAAATCAATTGGCAACTTGCAATGTATACTTTCCAGGAAGTTAAGATTGTTTCAAAATGCTATCCAAATCTGCAGGGGTAATAAGAAAGATTGGAATGTAACCGTCATAGAGTAGAGAGTGCTGTTGAGAGGGAATTTGTCCTATATCTGTCCCCGTAGTTTTAATTTTATGCACCCCGCATAATTTAGCAAAATTTGATCTTTTTTTGTTTGTCGTAGCATAATTTCTGATTATTTTCCTTTATCATTCTTTGTTAAAATTAACAGAATCGCATAATTTCAAATGTTTGGGCTCAGTTTGCATAATTTCATAACTTTTCTTGCGCAAAACGACTGGGACAGCTCTATACAAAAGCTATCATTGTTTATCTCAAAGAAATGGCTTCTTGTGAGAACATCTGTTGATTCTGCCCACGACCTCAGAAAATAAAAAACACAAATGTCAAGTTTTGTCCTCTCAAGTCTTATCTTTCTCTTCTTTTTTCATAATCTTATATCAATATAATCATTAATTACAATCATGTACTACATGTATGTGTACTTTTACGAAGGTCACGCCACGATACACGTAGGCAGTTGCGGTGGGTGGACCAAAATTTGGAAGGGGCTTCGGTTGCTTCCACTTCTTTACCACCAAATACAGATGTAATACTAATACTGTAGCAAGCAACAAGAACAAAACAGTGATGATTTTTCTGTACTCACGGCGAGCCACGGCATTTTGATTATATAATCATTCAAACAAGAAGAGTCACCTTTGTCTTCCATCTCTATGTTCTACGTTAAATTCTTCAGGGTGGTGGGGACGAAGCTGCTTCACCTCCGATTTCTCTAATTAATTTTCATCTGATGAAAAAGTTGCCTCGAAAGGAGTTTGCTGTAGGCTACATGCAATTAATACATAACTGTTAAATCTCAGCCGTACACACAGCACTCCAAACCATATACCGTCTATGAGCTGGGTTAGGCCAAATAGTCGCGGAAAATAGAACGCACCTAACAACGCTCCAATCGGTGCATAGGTATCAGTGTCACTGGGGGGAAAGTATGTCATAAACTTTCACCCATTGTTAGGTAGGGCTAGGAGAGCGTGAGCCCTCTGTGCGGTGATTTTTTTTTTTCACGTCTTCTATCTTTTTACAAGAGGGGTTTCATGGAGGGGCCGTGGGAACGGGCTCATCCTTTTTGCTGAGCCCTAAAGACATTTATTGATTGGCTGTTAGTTTACTATAGTTGTTGATCACTCTGTGTTTATTGCGTGAGATCACAACAGTTTCAACTGCTTGTTTCTCTATTCAAGAAACTTTCATTTACTTTGTTATAGAGTTGGGGAGGGGAGGGGGAGGGGGCCTCAAGCTCGTGAGCCCTTCCCTACCCATCGCCACTGCATGTAGTGTAGGCCTATTTGCAACTTTGATTAGATGAAGTCCGAACTGTAGTAATGTACTGTAACACCCCCATCCAAAAAAGCACACAAAATGCACATGTATAATGTATACTGCACGTACAAATATACCTACATAGCAATAGCAGAGCAAGTAAAAAGTACCAACATACATGTGCATGTGTGGGTTACTAGTAACTGACTGATACTAATATTTGGTGGTTTGAACCAGCGTGATGATAAATGAGCACCAAATCAATAACAGTAACAGTCAATTCAATGGAGCCTTCTCTCACATAATATTATATTGCAGGCAAGATGGTATTTGCTTTCCCAAAATCACCCGAGTTCTAGTTTAATTTTAATAAGAGTTCTACGGCACCTTCAACAAAATAAGGTCATATATCATATGCATGTATAAGTCAAATAAGTGCCGAAGATGAGGTGTTACAAGAGAGTAAAAAACATAAAAAAGGAGGGATAAAGATGATAGTTTTTTAATAAAATAGGAAAGGAGCAAACCACACCAGAGTACCTGCCAACCACCCACTGAGTTCTAGTTCTAGTAGTAAGCTCCGTTTCTAAAAACAGAGAGTTGCACTTATCATTAAAATTTAAAATTTGACAGCTCACCACATTAAAAAAAAATAAATGTACCGTATTAAAATTGAAAGAAAAGCCTCCTCCTATTGCTTTTCCCACGATTGGTTGGGGTGGTAGTAACATCGTTATAGTACAGTCCTGTTACAACGAGAGGGAGGGGACCGGTGCGAAATGTCCGTTATATCAGGATTCTGGTTATAAGGAATACAGTAATAAAATTCAATGGAAATAATACAGTAGGTCTAATCTATGACTACTCTGAGTTTGGTGTTCTGTTTATTTCTTTTTGTTATCTCCCCTGATGATGACATTGTTCAACATGACCTCTTGGTCTTACTTGATCAAAAATGAAATCGGGTTTCTTTCCCTAGCGCTAGCGATGTTGACGATCAGAAAGAAGGGGCTCTGGCTCTAGGCTAACTCGCCCACTGTGTTGTCCCCCACCCCATCACACCCTGTGGTGCGTTTCGTCTGCTTGCGCACTTACCCATACACATTCACTCCATCCATCACAGCATTGTGACCTCTCCATCCCCGCATCGGACAACTGAGGGCATGGGTAGTGGTAGGCCTAGAAAATCTAGACAAGGTTGGCCTATCACGCAATGCGTTCTGCTTGTCTGCGCATACCACACCCTCCCCACTCATTCGCTCCGGCCTTCATTGTTGGCAAACGTGGGCTCTCCCATTCTTTGTTTCGCTCAAAGAGTTGCTGTAAGGTCCTAGGTTTCGCTAGATAATAGATAACCACAAGTTTCTCAACTGGCGAGGTTAATACGTATAACTGGCCTGTGCGCTGTGCACAGCAGCAGAAATATTCCGCTATAACCGACTCCCGTGTTTGTCTGATTGCACTATAGCAGTATTTTATCAAATTTACAAAGATAAAGAAGGGAAAAAACGGGGTTTTAGAATAGTGTCTTTATAACAGTAACAGACTTCTCGTTGTTTCAGGACTCGTTATAAATGGACTCCTCCACTGTACTTGTAGTTAGTACCAAGCGCCACACATACAAAGCCAACTGCTTTGACCCTGCCTACATAATAGTTAATAATACATTGTATAAATATATCCACTATCAGTATCACTTTACTATCACTATCAGTATCACCATCACTAGGGCCAACTCGGGCTAGAGAGGTGAGCAGAGTAAGCCCGATTCCCTGTTTAGACTTCTCTGTTGACATTATCCACCCCTGTCGATAAATTAAATAAGACCTTAATGCAGTTGCAAGCGTTGTATAACCTCTACTAAAACTAAACAACTCAGGCTGAGGCTCAGGGATCCCGGAATCCAACACAACATCCCGGAGACAATCGGAGATCATTAAAAATGTTGAATTAGCAAAAAAACATTTAGTTTAGTTTTAGTAAGAGTTTTGCGGCACTTGCAACACAATAAGGTCATATAAGTGCCGCCAAAGATTAGAGGTGTTACAAGAAAGTAACAAACACAAAAAGGAGGAGGGGAGATAAAGACGATAGACATTTGATAGGAAAGAAGAAGCAAACTACACCAGAGCACCTGCCAACCACCCACCATTATAGAGAGGCAACCAAAAATTACTAATGATATATATAGGTAAAAAAATCGGGACCTGGGCACCATGTCGTTATACAGAGGATGCCTTTATCGCAATGTAATACACAAAGCACACAATCAAATGAAAACAGATTCTTGGTCGATCCTTTAGAAAGTTATTCCCATCAAAAAATAAAAGAGGATAATGTTCATGCACTACACATGTACATGTAGGCTATCATTCCCGCCTGGTAACACTTGAGGCTTATTCTAATTCTAATGTTGATCCATGACCAACATGACAAAGGAGACTACGGAGACAGCCGAGAAACAATGCACCCTGTCTCTCAACACACTGATTCTAAATTACAACACATGGCACTAGGATCAACAGGAAAGTCATCTGAACAGTTTTTTGTAAGTGTTTTACGGCACTTGTAACACGATTACGTCATACAAGTGCCGAAGATTAGAAGTGTTACAAGAGAGTAACAAACACAAAAAAGGAGTGGAGATAAAGATGATAGCTGTTTGATAGGAAAGAAGGAGCAAACCACACCAGAGCACCCACGTTACAATTTTTTTTTATTTTAGTAAGTGTTTAACGGCACTTGCAACTCAATGAGGTCATATAAGTGCCGAAGATTAGAGGTGTTACAAGAGAGTAACAAACATAAAAAAAGGAGGAGAGATAAAGATTGTTGCTTGATAGGAAAGAAGAAGCAAACCACACCAGAGCACCCGCCAACCACCAACAAACAATGCACCTGTCCCTCAACACACTAATTTTAAATTATAACATGGCACGGACAGGAAAGAAGACCACAATTCACAAGAGGGAGACCCAAATCCCAAACCATTTTACACGGTGTCGTCTTCTCAACTCAACCAAAACGTAAGGTGCATGGTAGGGCTCATCATAGAGTTAAGAACACCACATTTCATTTCACAACAGGAAGAAAAAAAAGAAAGAAAAAAAGCAAAGCAATCATCTGACTTTTCATTATAATTTATTTTTTGCTATACAACGACCTTTTTCAAGGAAAGCATAATGTTTTGTGAGCAAAGTTAAATGAACCACCCACATCAAAGTTTACTGAAAGAGATAAGGAACCCCTACTTTATATTCCAATTCATCAACAAAACCCACTATCCACTGTACCCGTAAAGAAAAAAACCCAACCCAACAACTGTAACAACAAAAAACCTAACTGATGCATATCTGCATTTTTCCCTCCAACAAACCGCAACTATTCTTGAGCCAGCCACAAATCAACAGCCGGCATCGAGTTCATTGTACGTGCTTTCGCATTCATTCCTTGCCATAGCTTGAGAACGTGATAGCTCAGAAAGTAACCTATTGAAAACACTTAAGTTTTTCCATGGGTCCCCAAACAGAAAACAATTTTAAAAGACAAGACGCCTCAATTTTGTTGAAAATGCCAACCTCAAGTAGCAAGGTAACTTCTCGGCATTATTCAGTCTTGATAGTCTTTTTTATGCATTCATGAGGTACAAGGAAAATCTTTTTCAAATGTAAAATGCAGTCAATTTGAAGTCAAAATGGGGTATACATCAAACTTTTTCACCAAATGGCATTGCAACCTAGGGCATTTACGTCATCCTTATTGTACTATTCTTCTACAATAATTTTTGTTGGCCCACTGCAAAACTGAAAGTTGGATACAAATCGCGTTGCGAAAATGAATTCATCAACAAAACATTATGCTCTCCTGATCAAAGAACAAGAACCATTTCCTGCATTTGGGGGACTTGAGCATGGCCTGTCAATGAGACCTCGGTGCTTTTTCCCCCCACTTGATTCCACAGAGCTTAACGTGTTTTCTGAAACACAAGCTCTTACTGCAGGCAGACCTACACACGGGGGAGGGTGTGAGCCACTGCCAGAAGTCTGCATTTGATGGGACATAATCAAATGACAAATGCAGATTCCGCTGTCCTGAAATAGAAAAAACAAAAAGTTATCATCATGTGTCGGAACAATGCGGAGATGAAAAGAGAACAAACAAAAATAAGAAAAGAGTAACCAGTTAAAGAGCTGCCCAGTCCCAAGAAACGTGAAAGAAGGAAATATTTTGAGTGAAGAAGGCACACTTGACGCAGCAATGGTCAAATAATGCAAAGAAGTAGTATGACAGAAACAACAGAAGGAAAGCAAGGAGGAAGTAGGATCTACCATTGACACCCTCCAGCCACCCACAAAAAGGAAAAGAGAAACTTAAGCTCTACAAGTTACCAAGGGTTACATATTTGTTGGTTTCAATCATTGCGTGGGGGACACCACCATTTTTTTAAACTTAGCAGTTATCTACGCATCAATCAAATTATTCAATAACATGTAAAATCATCAGAAGATTCTTCCATTTTTATACTAAGATATATGTCTCAAAACAGGCAACTTGCTACATTTGTATTGCCTTTTCAAAAAGATGATAACTTAAGCTTTTATTTGAATATGCTAAAGTTATTTCATAGTATCACTATAGTATATTTTAAAGTAAGCTACAGTACACGAAAAGGCATTTTGCAAAGGTTTAATGGATTCCTTTGGGATTGCACCTTTTAATTTTATTCAATTATTCGTTTATTGAAGGATAAGAAACCCAGCACTTGAAACTGTTGACTATTTGTTAGTTATCAAAATGCCTTTTCTACATTGTGCAAATGTTGGACTAATTAAATATTGGTTTACCTGGTGAAGATTAGCTTTTAATATTTTAGGTGAGGAACCTGTAAGTTTAAAAGCTGAGTCTTCGAAGCCAAGAATTATTTCAGGAATTTTCTGTTCCGTCAGCAAACACCACCATATTTCATTATTGCATGAAATAAGACATTTTCAATGAATTTTTAAAATAAATATTGCACATGTAAGAAACTTCACTCATAACTAGTCCACAACTATGTACAACAATATATCTGAATATTTAGCATTCAATCAGGACATTTAAATTGATAAATATTAGTACTGGCTGCACAAATTAGTTTACTAGTTTACTGTTATTCACAAAGTTTAAATTCTTATAAAACATTCCCACATATTTATAAGCATTCCTGATTAAACATTTCGAAAGTAGTAAGTATTTGGAAAAGGCATTTTGTGATTTTTTATTAATATCTTAAGGGGGTCCACATTTTAACATCAATAGAATTAAAATACAACACTGCTTGAAGTTGGAGCAACAGCTAAACTGTATATCTTGGAAAAAGATTATCTGCTCCATTTTTTTCCATATTTCCTGTTTCACATATCAAATGTTTACTATGATGATAAGTTTTTGGCATATCTGGGTCGGTAAAATAAACGCTCAAAGACAAAGGTATCGCATGTAATCCCATTGGAAATGGCCACATCCACTAATTGTTTAAATGTATGAAAAATTCAAGTTTGTGCCCAAGTCTGTTTAGGAAGGTAACCAATATTTAGACAGAGAGAACTTATATATTATTTTTGTAGCTTACCATTTCAATTCAACTTCGGCTCTATAATTATAAACCTTTTTTGTGGACCCCCTTAATTGGGATCTGTGAAACATATCTAGTCATGCTTTTTCATTCAACGGAATTTTAATAACAGAGCTTTTACTGGACATTCTTAAATATCAAAATGCCTTTTCATAAATAATTCTAACACATTAAAAATAAAAATCTGTGTTACCTGTCCATTCGAGTTTGCTTTTTATTCAAGGGCTATGGACCCTTTTTAATAGAAAAGCTTGAAGCTGACATAAAGGAGTGTCCTTTTGTTTGTCCTGTGTTATCTTATCCTCTGCATCTTGGTTGGCTGGACTTCTTTCTCAATACCTCAGCTTCCACAACATTGTAACATTTACGCACCGCAGAGCAATTTCATTGACAAATACTTCTCAAATTGTGATCCACACACCTTGGTGCTGGAAGCGGGTCTAAATAAACAATTTGTGTATTTGCAGCTCCTTTCTACGACTTAGAACAACCTTTGGCCCACTGTCAAGGTTTCAGCTTCGACGGGCGTTGACAATTCCATGTACATGTACCATATAGAGTATAAATATTTTCCAGAATTACTAGCAAAAGTCATGACTACCATAACGCATGCATTATACTGGCACCTTGCAACTTTAAATTCCAGACGTTTTTTTAAGAACTGAATACACACATCTCCTCACTTTCCAAGCAAAAGTACAATTTGTGACCATGCTCCGCACGAAAGAGGTTACGTACCCACATGTTCAGCTGAAATTCCAATGTTTACTTCAATAATGGACCCTCATCCCAAACTGAATCACGACTACTGTGCGAAAATCTGACCCAAAGCACATTTGGGATTTACAAGTGTAAAATTTTGGGGGTTGATAAGCAAAGTGTCCAAAAATCACTACATTTGCTATAGAAACTATAAAAAAAATAAAAGAAGAAGCGCCACAAACCGGAACCGGGAATAGTTGTTGCAAATCAAACAAGGGGATCAGCCTGCCCATTTCATTGTAAAATTTCACTTAAATTAAGGCAGGTCAGCTGATCTTTTAGGTTTTTTCTGGTTCAACATCTTGGAAATCAAACAAGTTGATTTTTTTAAAGGTGATCATGCACATAATGTCTCGCATTAGTACAATAACCCATGTACTCTTGTAAAACCACGGTATTTTTTTATGAGTGGATCACAAAAAAAGCGCCAGAGTCAGCAGTTTCGAGGCTTGTCCACTATTTCTTTTCTCCTCGCGTGTGTTTTCTTTACATACTATCAGATTTATACAAAACACCAACGGTTCTTTAAAAAATAAAAACCTAACTTATTCACAGGCATAAATACTATGCAGACTAAACGTGCCCAATAGCATCCTTCATAAGTTTTGAGTATAAATTATCACAACTATTTTTCTAAATTTGCACCTAATGACCTGAATAAAGCTAGTTGTGAAACTGAAGTCACAGAGCAATAAATTCTTGCTCCATCCAGTTACACTACCCTTCAGGAAAACCAAATCAAAAATTCTTCACAGTAGTATTGTCAGTTTGATCCATACCACATTTTCTGTAGTTGACTCCATTCCACAAAGCAACACTTCCGAAATTTTTCAGTAAAGTATTTTGAGTTGGCCTCAGCTTAATTTAAAGGTTTGGGGGATTTTTTCAAAAAACATAACAGCGATAGAGGATAAACCTCAGGAAAAATAATAAGGTGACAGACAACAGAAGAAAAGCAAAAGGCATAAAAATGAAACGACCAGCCCATGACTGCTGCTGCAGAAAAGAAAGCGAGAAAAAGTTTTAGGTTCTGAAAACATGAAATCACTTGTGTAACAGCCATCATGATCAGATTGGTCATGTGTGTTGTAAAGAATGACAAGTTCTAGTTGACCTTGCGACCCCAAAGCTCTATAAAAGACTCAAAGTACTCACTTGGGTCTCAAAGTGGGTGTTGCACTTTATTCCTTCTGCACAAGGCACATGACCACCCCTGATTTGATTTAAAATTTAACACTAAATTTCCCATTATCATTAACTCACCGAGCCCTGGCTCGACCTTGAACTCAAAGACGCAATCGGGATTTCGCGCTTTTTTGGGGGCCAAACAATCTAATAACGCTATACACTTCAGCTGAATCCTTTTCCTGACCAGAAATTAAGGCGATTTCCAAAATACATAGTAGTTTTAACATAAAACTATTTTCACTTAGGTGACATACATGAAGCCCAACATTTTTTTTTCATTTAACTTAGCTTTATTTTTCTTCAAAATACATCTTAGAACATTTGCCAACTTAAGCGTCTCATATTGATGACAATATTTACGTAAAATATAGACATCTAGAACTTGTCTTAAAATTATTGTGCCTAAATAATTTTTGGTGTTATTTTCTGTCACAATTAGAGAGCAGAAATGTATTCCAAAATTCAAGAAAGTGGGGTATTTAAAAAGCATGTGAAAAAGTTTTACAGATAACAGAGTAAAATTAGAAGTACTACAAACAGGAGAAATGTATCATTATCCGAGCCAAAAATTAAGTCAGGAGCTTAATATTTGCATTCCTCTTACTTTTTTTTTTTAAACGAGGAAAGGACTCGTATGCAAAGACCACAATTCTATACTGGCCAGGGCTTTTGCAGTAAGGTTTTTACGGCGCTCGCAACTGCTTAACCCTTTCTTTACGTTGTGTTTTACAATTATATCAATACGACGTGGGGAACTGTGCCACCACTTTCAAAGAGGAAATTTACTCGTTAATCCGATCCGTACGCTTTGCACAGTAGTCTGTCAAAATGGTTTTTTCAGAAATACTGAAAGTTTCAAAGAGAGGTACTAGAAGTATTCTAAAATGTGAAGAATAAAATCCCAGGGGTACAAAATGACCCCAGGCGTACGGATAGTGTTACGGTCATACGGGTTGACCAGGGCTCAGTGAGTTACTGAAAATGCCATCAGCGCATGAATACATATTGACATACGTATTTGTTGACTAAAAAAAACAAGTTTTTGACATTCCATACTGAGATGCCCTCATTGGACACACTGGTCCAAAATAATTGTATGAAACAGTAGTAGGGTTGAGTACGATGAAGTTTAATGAGTTTTTGTTTGATTTTTTTTTTTTGGGTTTGTGTGTTTTTTTAAAACAAGTTACACCAACGTATTACAAAGTCACATTTTGAAAGTATTAGAAGAAAGAAAAACAAAAAAACAACCTATTTTACTCTTAAAACTGGGTTAAAATCAATACTACTGGCGTAGACAACAAAGTAAAAGTGACACAATTACTGAATGTACAACATTAAAATTTTCTTCGAATGTGGAGACTACTTTTTTAAGACTGATATTTAAGTGACCATACCTAAAAAATAAGTTTTAAAAAAAGGGAGTCTTCATAACTCCTTGTTACAACATGAACACATTACACGAAACTTATATATATCTTCTCCTGTCCTTGCTCAGCATCCAATTGAGAGAAATGTCTTGCCTTTGTTCTTGCCCGAGAATATAAGTTTCTACAGTTCTTCAATTTGGTTGACACAAACACTGTTGTCATTTTAAGTACCTCATTTGGGAAGAATGAGGAGAACACACTGTGTTGAAGTCCAGTTTCATGTCCGACCAGGCATGGCAATCAATGCCACTTCAGCCGTTTCAGTAGCCGCTCTGAGATGGCCGGCCGTACGGATGAGACCTTGCAGCGGGTCTAACTGCACCTCTGGAGCTGGGGGGAGGGGCAGCCTTCTGTGTGTAGCCATCACCTGCGGAACAGAGATCATTATTACTATTCAGTTACAGAAAAACTACTATCCAACGAAAAAACAAAAACAATTACCTTTCCAAAAAACGCAGTGAGCTTTGCATCAAATGAAATCATTGGATCCTACACGATTCAATTCATCTAAGACCGGCTTTCGTGAAAAGTCTGACAAACTGGTATTTTAGATTGAAAACTCAATGGGAACCGTCACCATATAATATAGTGGAGCCCACTTTGACCAAACATAGCCATCAAGTCAAAGAAAATAAAAAACCCAATTTTTTTTTTACATTTCAGCAGCCTCTGTAATTTTAAAAAAAAACCCTGATTAAACTGAAGAAATTTGGTGGTCCAGCAGATTTTGGTTTATAGCAGATTCCAAAGTGCATAAAATCATCACTACAAGATTCTAAACGGTGAAAATGGTAGCTGCAAAATTCACGGGAGAGTGAAAAAAAAACTAAAAAGCAAGGCTATTGTACACATTTTAGCAGTCTAGAATCCAATGTTGTAGTGAATTTTGCCGTACAGAACCCTACAGCGACAATGTTACATTACAATGTCATATTCATGAAAAATATCTCTCCAAGAAAAAGCAGCAGTTTCCAGTTACAGTTCAGGCAGTTATGAGCATGACATTGATGAATCAACCCATTTACAATTAATTACAATTCTACTGTGCATAAGAACATGGTTAATGTCCCCCCCTTTGGAAATGGCCTAGACACTTGAGTCAGTGGCACCGCCCGCCCCAGGAGGTATAGAACAGAGCTGGGAGCTGGCCGTAGAATTCATGTTTACTTTGTCCCTGTATCATTTATGGGTGCATAACACTGAATGATGTTTGACCCCTTTCTTGAATGAAGCTATGAAGTAGCAATAATAGCTTACCATAATCTCCATAGCCACCACCAGCACCACCAGAATAAGAATCATATCCAGAGGTTGAAGTCGTCGTGCCATAATCATAGTATGAGGACTCTCCTCCACCGCGGCTGAAAATAAGCAAAACGTTATAATTACTCACAGCTGTTTGTTTTAGTAGTTTTTACGGCGCTCGCAGCTGCATATGTTCATATGAGCGCAACGAGGCGGATGTTAACAGAGAAGTCCTTACAGGGAATCAGGCTTACTTTGCTCACCTCTCTAGCTTCAACAGCACTAAGTCTGCTTCGACTATCAAGGCATCTCGGAAATAGCGGGTCACAAGAGTGTGATAGACATACAAAAGAAGTAGAGGTAAAAATATGATAGTATGGATAAGGAAAGAAAAAGCAGCAGTTCCCTGTTGTAGTTCAGGCACAGTTATGAGCATGACATTGATGAATCAGCCTATTTACAATTCTACTGTGCATTAGAACAAGTTAATGTTCCCCCTTGGGAATTGCTTAAAGACACTTCAGTCGGTAGCACAGTGGGGGGGGTTCCCTCCACATTTCTGACAGAGGGAGGAAAGAACTAAAAGCCTGGAAATAATTGTCTGCAAACAGTGAGTACACCTAAGAGCTGCATTAAAGAAAAGCACAACTGCTTACAGATAATCCGCTGCAGGTGGAAGGCAGATTAATAATAACTGCTGTGATGCTGTTTGTCATACCCCAGATCAGGGGTGAGAAAAGCAATGATGATGAACAGACAAAAGGCAAGTCTACAGACAAATTTTAAGAACTGTGCTTCAACCACCAATTCAAAATCTACAAAATACCAGAAATCTATGACAGCAAAAATTTTCATTCTACCAATAAACACGAGATATAGCTTGGTCAAACAATGAGTAGGTGGGTGTACGGTGTCAAAACAATTGTTTTGACACTTTAACAAGTGGACGAGAACAAAAATCTGCACTACTAAAAAAACCATAAGTCATAAATTTTACAAATCTGTTCCACTCAAAGCCTTTCATCTAAGAAAGGTCTATGATCAGATACTGAAGATATGGTTATAATCTCTCCTCTCAGATGACCCTAACTAACTTCACTGTATAACGGCAAAAATTTGTTAAATCAACAACTCACCTTGAAGAATATCCATCATCATAGGAGCCATCGTACTGTGAGTTGTAGCCCGATCCATAACCTCCCTGTATCAGAAACAATTTCAATTACTGCTATTATACTGTGAAAAAGTAAAGCGTAAGAGATAAAAAATCTTTCAAAATTAAACAAAAAAGCCTCAGAACTTGCTGAACATTCCATATCCCTCAAACACAAAAGTACAAAACCAGTAACTAATTTACCATTGTTACACCAGGGGGTTGCCCTTACTGAAAAAAATAACTTGCATGGACTTTGCATGGCATCATCGATATGAACCCAGAATCAAATCAAGACACGTACAAACCTCAAAAGTACTTTTTACTCCCCAGTAAGATATTTCCATACCCTAAATCACTCAACATTTTTTCAGGGTTCTTGCCATGAACTCCCCACGAAATTCAAGGAGGTTACAAGGACAAATTTGTAAAATTCAAGGGGATTTGGTCATAACATTCATGCTGAAAGTCTATTTCCGATAGGCCTCCACGTGTCGTAAAGGAACCACAATTTCCATTTTCTCACAAAAATTTTGTTCATTCATATGAATATCCGATTCGGCAAAATTCAAGGAGTTTTCTCATATTCAAGAAGTTCTCAAGGAGATTTTTCCTTGAATGCTAATTCAAGAAGTTTTTAAGGACTCCTTCAGTTCAAGGAGGCCGCAGGAATCCTGATTTTCTTCTCCAAACTACAAAAGCTACGTGAAAAGCCAGCGTTCATACCTGAGTGCCGTATCCGTCATAAGAAGAAGCAGCTGGTGGTGGTGCTGCCCTGGCTCCCCTGGAGGGTGGAGCGCCTCGGCTGGCAGGGGCACCTCGAGGGGCGCCTCTGGGTGGGGGAGCACCGCCTCTTCCTGATGGGGGGGGAGCACCTCTGTAAAAAAAAAAAAAGCAGTACAAATACGGTAAAGACCAGGGCTTTGAGAATGGGAAGGCAGCATCTTCATGCTACTTCCAAACCTCAAGTAAGTGGAAAAACTTACATAAACTCAACAGAACCTATGACAACAACAAAAAATCAAAACTTTCACTGAAGCTACTGGGATGTAAGCTTGATCCATCCTTAGGAGAGAAAAAATGTTACAGAGCACTGGTACCCACCAACTTTCCCCCAAAAACCAATTTCTTAAAAAATTTGGGAAATTCGCACCTCTTTGCTTGCTGACATCCCCATCCCCCTCCCAACAATCCATGCTGTTACCACAAGGGTCTAGATCTGCAGTTTCGTAACAAGACATGCATATATATAGCTTTCACAAGGAGACCACATTGATTAAGATATGCAGTTTCTTCAAAAGATGTGCTTCAATAGCTTTCACCAGGAGGGAGAAACACATTTTCATATATGTGTGGCATCATGATGAAATCAGGCGCTTGTCAAAATAATGAAATCGAAAAAACAAGCATTTTTCCTCCTATTTGCAGGGCCCCCCCACCAAATCGTGGAATTTTTTTTCAAGACCCCAATTCAAGGGAAAAATAAGGCCGCTGCGCGTCAAGAACCGTTCTCCCAAAAAGCCCATCTATCAATGATAATAAGTCAAAATGTCTTTAAATGAATGCAAATGTACATTTTGTTGTATAGTTTTCAAACAATAGATGATTATATAATGCTGGGTGACCGCCAACCCAGCTTCTCAATTTTCTAAGGGAGGGGCCTCATCCATTTTCCAGGGGCATGTTACATAACAATGACAGCACGAGCTCAATTTATATTTAATATATGTGTATGTTTGTGAATACACACACACCTACACACACACACATGTAGGTACACTATAGGTACCAGAAACTAAATTTTCAAAGTAGCTGTATGCCAAATTTATCTATTCCATATGAAAGGCCTATGTCTCCTGACCATTCTGGTACCATTCTTTAACCTCTCTGTCAATTTTTAAGAAAATGGTAGTTGTTTAAAATTTGATCAAATTAGTTGAAGTCGGTCAGTAATACTATATCCACTCAACATGTCAGTGTGGAACTGGGATCTTGTGTGACTTTGGTATTTCAGTCTGTTCTTACTTATTTATATTTTCCCCTCATCATATTAGCCTACATAAACTATGGGCCCTATTAAAAATGAATCCTGTTGTGAGCCTGAGAAAAGACCAAGAACTAGAACATCGACAGACAATAACCAGTCTGGGTGTCATGATTCATATATAATAAACGTGAAGACAAAAACTATTGCTCAAACTCAAAGTAGAGTAATATTAGTGTATTAACTTAATGGCTCAAGTAGACCTATTCAGTGCGAGCGGTGTAAGAACTGAGGGAGGGCAAGATGCAGTGACACTGAAAATCTGCCAATCTTGAACAGAAAGCTAATAAAATATAGGGTAAGCCAAATATAGATATAAATTACAATCACCCCATCCAATGAAACGCGAACACTTCAGCTCAATAACAAGGCATGACGGATCCCGATTCCACACAAGGCCTGCACCAACGCGCGCTTTGCAGAGA